TGAAATCTGGGCCCTAAGAGACCTCAAGTGAGGAGGAGGGGCTTGTGCTGAAGAGCAGGAGACACAACTGCTCCCATAAGGCTCAGTGACAGCGGCTGTGGCATGTGAGCACAGGGTGGGGCAGAGAAACAGATGCCTCAACGCCAAGTCCCAGCATCCATAGCCCTACAGCCAAGATGTCCCCAGAGAGAATTTCTCTTCCAACGGACATGGGGCTGGGATTGTGGGGACCTAGGATTGTGTATAGAACTTGCTTCTCACTTTCAGTCACCTTGAAACCATCAACCTGTCACAGGGACTGAATGAGGAACATGAGGTTGGAGGGTAGAAACAAGTAGGCCCTATCTCTTTCAGATTAGGGAGGGGTGTGGCTACCCATCTCCTCCACCCCACCGCAGTGTGGCATATACAATACACACACTGTGTCCAGTTGTGGGAAAGAAGCAAAAAAAATCACACATCCTCCTTATCACTCTGCTAAGCAACACTGCTGATTTCATGTGTGCCATTTTCAAAGCAATTTTAGAAGATAATCAGAAAACAAAGAGTGGAAAGATAAAGTTGTAGGGGTACTTTGCTGCTCTTTCTCCTTGAGTGAGGACACATAGTGCACACACTATGTTGGGAAAATAACATCTCCTCCCAGAGGTTCCCTAGAGAACCTAAACTCCACACAACAGGTCTCAGCATGTTCTCTCCAGGCAGAATATCCACAGGGAGCAACAGCCTGCTGGTCAACCAGTAGTCTCTAAGAAGCAGGTCCTGGTATATTGCCATCCAGCTGTGTAGTGTTGTAGTGTTTAATGGTCTTTTAATTAGCTTATTTATTTGGGGCACCTCTAATGACATAGCCCAAAGCTACATCTTCCTTGAGTTTTAATTTACTTTCATCAAATTTCAGTTTTACTTTTTCTTTTTTTCTGATGGTCCAGGCAAGCCAACAGACAGTTACACCTATATGTTCTAGTTAAATGTGAATTGTGGAAAATACAGCTTGAGAATCCTTAGACTCTGGCCCAGGGTCATTCAGTAGTCATAAGGAGGATTTTGATGTCATGTAAGACATGTCAGAAAAGCCCTATCTCAGACTCCCCAAGCCCTAACCCTTCTCACAAGCTGGATTTCAAACAGTGTTGTGAACCAGACTTCCCTGATCATTAAACCACCGAGGATATTTAGTTTGTTGATTGTTGCCCCCCTCCACACCCCCCCCCAGTTCGTGCTCTCATGAAGTCCTCTCCTAGTCCTGAGAGAAGAAGAAAAAGAGCTCTCTTAATAAATATATTTAGGAAATCACCCTATAGTTTGGTGACCTAGTTAACTCTTCTCTAAAGAAAAAAAAGACTAGCAATTAATGATTAGCCGTTAATTTGACACACAAAAACTCAAGGGAGTCTTCCTTGAACATGATGCACATAGCCATAGCTGCTGAACAAGAATATATCCTTGTACATTGACAGAATAAAATAAATAACAAGTTATTAACATGATAACTCTCATAATGATGAGCAATACAGTCTACCAGACGGACAAAATCATAAGCTGACTTAAAGCTATGGTTATCATTCATACAACAAGGACAATGTTCAACGATGTTCATAGCAGCACTATTGTAATAGCCAGAAACTGGAAGCAGCCTAGATGCCCCTCAACCGAAGAATGGATAGAGAAAATGTGGTATATTTACATAATGGAGTACTACTCAGCAGAAAAAAAACAATGGAATCTTGAAATTTGCAGGAAAATGGATGGAACTCGAAGAAACCATTCTGAGCGAGGTAACCCAATCACAAAAAGACAAACATGGTATGTACTCACTCATATGTGGATTTTAGACATAGAGTAAAGGATTACCAGCCTACAATCCACACTGCCAGAGAAACTAATAAACAAGGAAGACCCTAAAAGGGACAAACTTTGTCCCCTGGAGAAGAGGAAAGGGTCACAATCCCCTGAGCAAATTGAGAGCACGGGAAGAGGGGGGAGGGAGCTGCGAGAATGAGAAGGGAAGAAGAGGAAGGATGCAGAGGTCATGAGGGAGCAGAAAGGTTGAGTCAGGTGTAGATTAGAAGAAAGGGTATGTGACAGGTAGGGTTTTAGTTGAGGGGGTGGTAGGGGAGGAAGGGAGGGAGAAGGGAACTGGGATTGTCATGTAAAACAATCTTGTTTCTAATTCAAGTTTTAAAAAATGATGAAAAAAAAGCTATGGTTATCACTAGTCCATGGCATTTCGATAACTTCTAGTGCATATTATAATAAATTGTTTCTAAATAAATGTATATATAATAATAGATAAAATATTGTAGCCAATATATATATTTATTTATTAAGAAGTAAGAAAAACAGTAAAAGGGAAAAGGCCATGGACAGAATGCAAAGTGCAGTTCTGGAAACAATATTGCTGTAGCCAAAAGCCAGACTTCAAACATCTTCAGGAGCTCAACAGGTCAGCTGGGCCCCAGGAAAACCACCCTGAGCAAGTGACTTAACTCCCTGACGAAGCTGGTCAGCCTGTTGCTGAGAACTGGAGTCCACCGGCAAGGAGGCCTGGGAAGAAGATAAACAAGCCCGAACTGGTAACAAATGTAATTCTGACCCAACTCCAGGGTTTTTCCATACAATGTGGCAAATCTAGAAGACAGGGTGACAAGGTTTTTGTTGTTGTTGCTTTGGGTGTCTTTGTTGCTTTGGGTTTCTTTGTTCCTTCTTTGTTTGTCAGGGGGAGTGATTAGTAGATCAGCAGAAACCAAGACACCTTATCAAAATAAGGCAGATCTTAAGTGACCCTCAGAAGCTACCCGACCTCAGTGTTGGGAGATCTATTTGTTTTCTTAGAGAAGAGTAAAGACAAACAGAGAGTTTGGAGTCAGCCAACCCATATCGTATGGGCATCCACGATGGGCCAGCTCCCTCAGTGCAGCCCTGACCTTTGTCTATACCAACCACAATATCCACAAAGATACATTGTTTGAGTTTTCATAACATTCTAATCCCTAGCAAATGAAAATTCAATGCCTAGAGGGAATTTCCCTTAAAAATGGCAGGAGTGGAATGCACCATGTCAAAGAAAGGAGGCACAAAGAGAGAAAAGGCAGCAGTGAGCACACTCTCTGACACTATGCTAAGGCAGAGCCTTGCACAGCTCCAAAGGCTTTACACATCTATCCCTGAGACTCCGTAATAACCTCCCAGGGTAGGCGCCATGTTATTGTGAAATTGAACAATCAGTATTAAGAAAGTGACAAAGCCAGGATTCGATGCAGACCCAGTGGCCAGCTCCTCATTCAAAGCCTCGTCATGTGCATGCCTGCAGTCTGCACTAGAAATGTAATGTTGCATTCAGTCTGTCCAGGGAAGAGGACAGGAAGATGCAGGGAGTCCCCTGCATGCAGGTGACAACCAAGTGAAGGCAAGGGCAGAGCACTTTTCGGGGACTCCACTCGAGCAGAGGGTGCAATGGGCGCCAGTTTTCAAGGCTGGCAGGACCAGGACGGTGTTTCTCCTCTAGTGCATAATACTTTCCTACAGCCAGGATTGCAGTGCCGGTGGTGACATGGACCCCCCACAATGCTAAGGGAAGGCCAGAGAGAAAGGAGGGAGAAACAAAGGGCTTGAGCCTGGGCCAGGAAGTTGGGCCATAAACAGATTAAAGAGGGTCAGACAATGAAACAGAGGAACTAGTAAGAGCCTTGGTTTGCTTCATAACTGCAACCCATGCAGGTTGGCTGGAATCACACAGCCATGTGATCAGAGCAATGCAAAATTTCCCCCATGTGAAATGGACTGGAATCACCCAGCTCATGCACTCCAGTCCCTGCAGGACCAGCCTGGGCTGGGCCTTCACATGTTGGACCCCATCACTTTTCACACTCTCCCGGGGCTTTAAAACAGCACTGGGAGTGGGGAAGCATCTCACTGTTTAGAGACACAGGCCGATCCTAGCCTTCAAGACACTTGGTTAAACCCTGGTGTTGATCTCCTGGGAACATTTTTCTTTTTACTTATTAAAATCTCAGCCAAGGAGGTTTAAGCAGAAGTGGCTCCTGTAAGCCTGAAAGCATTTCTGAAGGATTAGGGTTCTACATGAAACACATTCTTCATCTTATTATCTCCGGCTTCCTGGGGTCTCAGCAAACGTCCCAAGAAGGACTTTTTTTTTTTTTTTAAACAAAGCTTTCGGTGTGAGCCACTGCTGGACTTTGTCCACTTTTTTTTTTCTGAAGCCTTGTAAAAATTGCCTGTTTACACTCAAAACTTCCTCCTCGTGCATCTACAGACTCTTTCAAAAATGAAATCGTGGCTTTCTTTCTGACTAGAGAGAGGGCATACTCCACAATGATGTTCAAGTCTCCAGCATCGTTAATTCTTCCAAAGTAAATCTTAAAATGTCCAGTAAACAACAGCATAGGAGACTTTCCACAGCGCCCCTCCAAAAGCACGTAATCTGCTCTACCAAAACAAAATGTCTTTTTGCAGCTGAAAATGTTGGGCAACCCTGGGCATCTGGGAGTTAAGTCTGGGGATTCTTACACTGAACTTACCTATTCACATTTTTTCACTTCAGGGATTAAGGGCTCCTTTAGCAGAAATCTTTTGAAGGCCGATAAGGCGAGCCACTTTTTGTTTTCCTCCTAATTCTTTAATAACCTTGGAACTAGAAGGGCCAGTTAGGATGTTCAGGACAAAGGACAATAGGATGTCACTAGTAACACCTCAGACCTGACTTCCAAACACTTCCACCGCGAACACCCGACTCCCAAACCTTACACTGCAGGTGCGTACCGCAGGCTCTTGTGCAGTATCGGGCATGGAACTTGGCACCTCACACATGCTAGGCAAATGCTCGACCACTGAACTGAATCTACTTACTGCCCTAGCTTTTCCGAAATCTTAGCTGTCCCTTCTGGCTGCTGTATGGAAGCGCTTGTGCACGGTTTTGATTCTGCACCGGCCAGATTAGAATGACGGGGTAGTTCTACGCCTGGGGATTCGAGATTTACCTTGACAAACAGGGTGATGTCATGCTCCTGTCCCGGGTCCTCCACCTCGGATGCTGGGCCGTTCTCCCTGCCGTCATTCACTCGCTCCAACTCTTCTCCGCCCTGGGCGCTGGGCTCCTCAGCGAGGTGGTTGCTGAGCTCCACCTGGGACTCCTCCTGCCCGGTGGCTTTGGCCTCCTCTTCATCAGGGCTGCCGTCAGAAGGCTTCTCCTGGATGCCCTCCTCACAGCGTCCCTCCAACCGGGGTTCTGGCCTCGCTTCTTCCTCCCCGGTCTCCTCCTGGAGCCCGCCCTGCTTCCCATTCTCGCCAGCGTCTACCCTCGCCTCCTCCGGAGCAGCTTCTTCCGACCCGTCTTTCCCCGGGGCTCCCGCTTCCCCCGAGGCATCTTCGGCTGGAGCTCCCGCCAGCTCCCCGGGGTCGTGACCCCCGATCTCCGAGGCTGCGACCTCAGTCGCCTCAGCCTGAGGCTGAGGGCTGCTTTCCCCTCCACCCCGGGGCTCGCCCTCTGACCCGTGGGCCTCTCCTGCAGGTGCATCTGTGTCCATGCTCTCCCCTGCAGGGCCCTGGGCTTCCGTAGTGATCTGCGACCCTGGGGCACTGCCCCCCTGCGCTTCCAGACTGGACTCTACCTCCTTCCACGCCTCTGAGGTTGTGGGGTCCTCCGGCTGCTGGCGGTCGTCCTCTGGGACCTCGGGCACCTCGCCCTGCTGGTCTAGCCCGCGGCTCGGCTCTCGCACCGGCTTGGCGCCCGGCTCCTCCTCCGCTCCCGGCAGGAGCCCAGCGCCCTCTGGGTCGCGCTCTGCAGCCTCGGCTTCACCCTGCGCTCCGCTGGCACTCGGAGTCTCTGTCCGCGCTCCCCCGATCCCTCCGTCCTGCCCGCTGCCTCCTTCTTCCTTCCCCGAGGCCGTCGCCTCTGCGCCCGCCCCCTGGTCCGCCGGCGTCTCTGCGGCTCCCTTGCTCGCTGCCTGCCCCTCCGGGGCCCCCGCCCCAGGTTCTCCTAGTCCCTCAATCCTCGCACCTTCAGGTTGCCCCTGGGGACCCTGAGCGACCTCCTTGAGCTCTGCGGCCTCAGCCATGGTGAAACACTCTTCTCGACGCTGCTCAGAGGTGAGCGACAGGGGCTGCCAAGCCCCCTCCGAGAGGACACCCCACTCCGGCCTCGCTTGATGCGAAATCCAGCCGGCCCCAAGAGCTTTGTCCCTTCCCTCTGGCTCAAGATCCTTGGGCTCTTCCTTTAACGTTCGTGCTTCTCCTATATTCTCACCCAGACCCCAGTCCTGATGTGCAGGCCAGGGGGTAAGGCTAAAGAACGCAGCTAGCCTCTTGAGCGCTCAGAAGTTGACCAAAAGTCTTCAGAGGCAACTCTACCCTCCTAGGGCTTGGGCGGGGTTTGTCTTCCCCACCTCCCAGCCTTTTTGGGTGGCCCGGGAACCTAGCCAATGATAGCCTTTCTGTGGCTTTTGTGGATTTTAAATGAAAAGACTGAGTTTACTAGCCACTTTGGCATTTTCTGGAACAGCTTCAAGTTTCGGTGCCATTTAAATCGCATACATCAGTATCTAATTTTCGCCTTCCCTTACCTCACCATGAAGGAGACATAAGCTCCGCTGGTACTGAGTGGAATAGACCCTCCCGAGCCTCTGGTTCTAAAGCAAAGATATAATCCCTAAAGGGAAGAATCGGGGAGGTGGGCCTGCTGCCTTCCCACTTCCGTGAATTCCAGAAGCCTACGGGTGAGAGCAAAGGGAGACATCTGTGCTCTTACCAAGGGAAAGAGTTCTTCACCGGAAGTTTGTCTCTCACTTTCCCCGAAGATGCTAAGAACCCGCATCCTCGGACCCCCACTTTTCTAATTCATGACAAGTTCTTGGGCCTCAGTGCTGTGGTAAGGGGTTTGGGGCTGCAGGAGCGGAAAGAGCCGTCAGGATGTGAAAGAGGGGAACGTCACGGGATTCTCTGGGCTAGGGATCTCCTAGGATCACCCGTCAGAGAACCTCCCCATAAAGAGAAGGGAGTTGTGGTCTAAAAGGAAAGCCCCCAAATCTTCTCAAAACCACTCCAAGGAATTGAAAGACAGTGAGCCTCCCAAAATTATTCCGTGAGGCCGGTATTTCCCTGTTATCAAAGGACACACCAACGATAGACCAATATGCCTGATGAATATAGGTGCAAAAATTCTTAGCAAAACACCAAGGATTTGAATGTAACAGCAGGTCAAAAAGAGCATTCGCAGCTGTCAAGTCGGTTTCCTCCCAGGGTTGCAATTATGATTCAACACATGCAAATTTAGAGATGCAATTCATCCTGTCAACAGAATGGATGAGTTTTTAAAACTATCTGAAGGTTGGAGAGATGGCTCTGAGATTGAGAGTGGGTACTGCTCTTTCAGAGGATCTGAGTTTGATTCCCAGTGCCCACACCAGGTGGCTCACAGCTTCCTCCAGTTCCACAGATCCTGTGCCCTCTTCAGGCTGCAAATGGCACCTGCACTGACCCATGCACAAATCCACACGCATAACACATATAACGCATACCAATCAATAAAGACAAAATAAATCTTTTTTTAAAATAATGTGTTCATCTCAGTGGGCGCAGACAGTGTGCATTTGATAACCTTCAACATCCCTTCCTAATAAAAACCTTGAAATTGGTTGTTTTGGAGGCAGGGTCTCCTGTAGCCCAGGCTGGCCTCAAGCACACTATATAGCTGAGGATGGCCTTGACTTTTGACATTCATCATCTTAACAAGTCTTCATGAAATGCTGGAGGTTGAACCCAAGGCTTCCATGCATGCAAGCACCCCAGAGGATGCTGCCTAAAAATGGTGGTGGGGTGGGGATTCCAGTTCAACTTCTCAGGCTCTTACTGGTTTTAGCCATCACACCCACAAGCGTGGGTTGTCTCTGGAAGTGGTTCACATAGCCATTTACCTAAATTCTCCCTTCCAATTCCCACTGTCCATCACTGACGGAATGGCTAGAGCTGCAGTTTAAATGTGTCCCTGAAAAATCCATGTGTTGAAAACCCATGTGTTGAGGCCGGGCAGTGGTGGTGCATGCCTTAAGTCCCAGCACTTGGGAGGCAGAGGCAGGTGGATCTCTGCAAGTTTTTGAGACCAGCCTGGTCTGCAAAAGCTAGTTCCAAGACAGGCTCCAAAGCAAAACAGAGAAACCGTGTCTCAAAAGAAAAGAGAAAGCTTATCTTAAACTTCACATTTAGTGGTATTTACAGGTGGCCTTTAGTGAATGCAGTTAGGTGAGTGTATGGTGGGATTGGTGGCTTTAGGACAAGGAAGGAAGGCGTGAACTAACTCTCCACCCACACTGTCTGTCTCTGTCTCTCTCCTTCTCTCTCTTAGTGTGCATCTTTCCGACTCTCTCTTCCCTTCTCCTTTCCCTGTTGCCCTTTCTTCCTATATAAGAAACGCCTTCTACCACGGGACAATGCGTGAAAAGAGTACTTATGAGAGGCTAACACATCGGATATTGTCATTCCCAGACCCCACAACTGTGAGCAACAAACTCTTTGCCCTTATTAATTATCCGGTCTGAGATCTTCTGTCAAAGAAGCACAAAACAAAGAGGACAGAAACCCAGTGACACCCACATTCATGTCGCCTTCCTCCAAGGCTGAACTCTACCTAGGAAGAAACAGGGCTGAAGCCACAACTTTGAACAGATGCTACAGAACAGCTACTCAAAGCACGCCACCCACACAGGTAAGATAAATGGGCGTGGCGGGTAGAACCTACGTGGCTCCAGACACCTAGAAAGGGAATCCTGATGCATTCAGCAGGGCCAGAGAGCATTCATCGCTCGCATCTGTCTCTATGAGACGAGCAAAGGCAGCATCGGGATCCCAACAGCAAGTGGCATGTGTTTATGTTCCTTTATGGAAATATTCAAGACCAGATGTACTGCAGAAAAGAGAGCTCTGGGAAAAAAACTGATTGCATGATTTCTCATATCGCATATAACTTGATGTATGTGACCCACCACCTTGTGATGAAATATGGAGGTGATTTCTTAGTGACACAGATAAGTAGCACATTATGCAACGAATGGAGAGTGTAACATATGTAACCAGGGGTGGGGCGGGGAAGATGGCTCAACTAGTAAGAGCACAGTCTGTGCAATCATGAGGACCTGAGTTTGGATCCCCAACAATGCCTCTGTAGGTGTGATGGCCAGACAAGCACCTGTAAGCCCAGAACTGTGGGAAACACAGAGAGGAGAATTTCTGGGGGTTGCTGGCCACCAATTTAGCTTTGGGTTCAGGGAGACCCTGTCTCAAGGGAAGGCAGTGGACAGTGGGAGAGCAGGGCATGTGGTGTCCTGCTCTGGCCTCTGCATGTGTGGGCACATGTGTGCACATGCATTACATGACACACACCCACATCACATACATGTTGCATATGCACACACCAAAAACCAAAAATAAATGGAAAAACTACATAACTTGACATACAGTTAAAGTTGACCTTCAAATGAGTTCCAGTCAAACTGGGTTGCCTCGAGGAGAGTGCCCCCCAAAAGCTTGCAGTGTTTGGAGCTGTTGGGGATTTCTGAGTGTGAATAGGGATTGTGGATATGAGCCACTGGAGAACTGTACCTAGGTTTATTTGCACTGTTATGAAAACTGTGAGCCTAAGTCCATGTGGAGCTTCTTAATACAGAGCCAATGTGCTCTGCGCCTTTCACAGAGCCACCGAGTGAGGGTCTATATTTATGTTAGCTGATACTTAATAAACGTTTAACTCAAGCAACTGTGTGCAGATGTCCTGGTAATAAGGGTGCCAATACCTCCAGGAAACTGTTGAATTGTTTGTGGAGCTGGCACAGCCCAGGCAAGCCTGTCTTCTGACTGCGTTAGCCTTAGTCTTGGCTGTGCCCTTGGACAAAGACAGGTTAACGAAGCCCATTTTGTTGAGATGACAGACCTGCATATACAAGCTACTTTATCTCATGGGCTTTGGTTTTGTTGTTCCTGGTTTTGATGAGAGGCATAGCACAACTCCTGCACCCTAGAGTCCTTCTCCACCTTACATTCCCTTTAGCAGTTTTCTCCTTCTCATTGCATCTAGTCTATCATCCCACAATGATGCTGTTTCCATGATGATAGTAAGGGGTTCTTGTTTACCATTATCTAGAACAGAATGAGGCACATATCAGGATCCTGGTAGAAATGTGTTGACTGAACAAGTACACATGTCTTCAGATCCATATGCATCACTCTGAACTGGTTTCTCAAACAACTTTTCTCCATTGGTTTTTACAATGTGGGAGGGGAAAAGATGACGTCATGAAACATGCTGGCCATGGGGACCCTTTCCTATTCCCTTTGGCGACGACTTCAACAGATGTGTTAATTATTAGCAAGAGACAAGTCCTATAGGGGCCACTAAAGAAACAGGAAATAGTGATGAAGATTGTATGGGTCTCTCTAAGGCCACTCGGTGATCTGTATACTGTTAAGAAGTCCGCCGCCGCCATCGCTAGATTAGCTATTTAAATACTAAGGAGGATTAAACAGAGGTGGCAGCCTAAGGGAGGGGTGACAAGAGGCTCTTGGTCACCATAGTGCTCTCCCACCACACAGGAAAAGTAATCACAAGGTTCAGAACTGGGATGATGAAGGAGATGTCATAGACCCGTAGCAAGTCAAGACTCGGTTGTTCCTGCTACCTTTCCCAGGAAGAACAGACTCGTTTCCATCTGTGTGTGTGTGTGTGTGTGTCTGTTTCTCTGTCTCTGTCTCTGTCTCTCTGTCTCTGTCTCTCTGTCTCTCTCTGTGTGTCTGTCTCTCTCTGTCTCTCTCTGTGTCTCTGTCTCTGTCTCTCTGTCTCTCTGTCTCTGTCTCCCTCTGTCTCTCTCTCTCTTTCTCTCTCTCTCTCTCTCTCTCTCTCTCTCTCTCTCTCTCTCTCTCTCACACACACACACACACACACACACAATTACCTGTTCTCCCATACAGTATCTATAACATTCAGCCCTAGCATTTGTTTACCGGTGAGCTAAAGTCCACCTTGTGATTTCTTTCTAGTCTTCCTCTCCTACAAGTGGCTCCAAAATCACTT